ACATACAGCGCCGGATCATAGCTTTTTAACACCCCGGGAAAATTAAAAAAATACGCCCATCTCAGGGAGATGACCAGAATTAGTATTTTTTTTTTACGAAAAATCAAGCACACTCACAGTTCTGCGAGGAACTGAGGACCAACATTTACAAAACCTTTCCAAATGTACTGCAGGACCAATCATTTATTTACCACAAATAATTTGAACGATTTTAACTTGAAAATGAAACATTTTAAATTTTAAACTATTCACGTAATATAGTTTTAGAAGCACTTCTTAATGGTGTATTTAAAGCTAAAATCTGTATTCTGTGGTCAATATTTCTAAGTTCCAGGTTTAGAATAAATAATATTGATAATAATAACATGTATGAATTATTTATTAACAAATCTAAATTAGGTAGGTATCCATTGCTTACTTTTAATATAGGATGCTTTATGTAAAAGAACAATATTTAATTTACAACATACCTATCAATATTATACATTTTCATTTTTAATATTTGTTACAATCAAAACTTAAAAATATGTACCTAGGTACGGAATAAATACAATGAAACAAAAATGTAATTATGTGCTGAAAATTGTAATATAATGATTATAACACGACAAAGAAATATTTATCATGGATTATCACTTACGGATTGAATGTAGATACCTATATACTAAAATAACTACATTCTACATTCTACATTTTAAAAATTTCCAGAATAATAAGGACCTGGTTGTCTGTTTGACATCTTGAACTATAAAAATAATTTAGACAAAAAACACAGTTTATAATAAAAAAAAAACGAACCAAATAGAATATAAATTTCCTTTTAAATTATTTTAATATATAATATGTAAAACATAATATTCAATCTGTCTTGGGCTACAATCAATAGGATAATATTTTTGTTTTAATTATTTAATTATGTTGTACTTTTGTAGTATCAAGTTTATCAAGTAAATTAATAGTTGTATACTTGTACCCATTTAAAAAGCAAACACAAATGACAAATTATATTCCATTTTGTGTTCTGTTTCATTTATCTAGTGGCCATGGTGATATTTATAAAAAAGTTCAGTTTATAAAAAGACATTAATTGTTAAATACAAAGACTTTTATAAGCCTGGGTACAAACATGTAATTTAATAAATAATCTGAAAACAATTAAATCATTATTACCTAAGTAACATTTTATGTAGGTAGTACATAATTTTATGCAGTACCTACCTATTTGGAAAAATATAGGTATAGTTGTTAATTTAAAATCACATAACAATGAATTACAATTAATAGAGCGATTTTTAAGATTAAGGTTTTAAACGACTATCTACATAATATTATATTATATGCAAGAAAATGAGGTAATTTACCATACTTTATTATGTCACTAATTGGAGAGTACATTAATCTATTTATGATAGACTAAGGCATGTACACTCCCGCTGACAGTAAATTGCGGACGGGTTTGATTTATTTTATATTTTTATCTATTTTTTACCTTTTTCATATTTGTCCTTTTAATTTTTAAATCAATGTTATTAGCTATTACTAATCTCGATTAAAAATAAAATAATTTTATTTTATTCCCATACCCAATATTACACATTTCCTGTGAAATATTATTTTGTACTTAGTTTTGACTTTTGTTTTAAAGTCCATTTTCAATTTTCAATTTACAAAATATTTAAAACCTTAAAAATACGCCCACGAAAATTATACTCCCGGGGATAAATCCCCGACTTCCCCCCTAGATCCGGCCCTGGTTACATAGTTGAAATAGTAGTACCTACAATGATAAGATATATTTTGTAGAAACAAATGAATTGACAGTGATTGTAAAACCGTAATGAATACATAAAACCGTGTTTAGAATAATTAGTTAAAAATGCAATAGTCAAGTTACAATGATGAACGTACATAACATTATATTTGTTCTATATAAACAATTGAATAGTTAAATCACAATAATACACATTATAATATATTTGCTTACATACAGACATGTAATTATTTAAAAATGCAATACTTAAATTACAATATGTAGGTACGTGACATTATATTTTTTGTTAAATGAACAATTTAGTAGTTAAATTACAAATTATTTGTTATATAAGCAATTCAACAGTTAAATTACAATTATGTACATGACATTATACTTTTTTTTTAAATAAACGATTAATTAGGTAAAAATAGTAATTTAATAGTAAAAATATTCATACAGGAAACTGAGGAAAGTAATATTATTAAAATTTAAAAAAACCAGTAACTATAATTTGTAAGATAACGTAAGAAAATCGAAAAAAACATGTTTACCCACGTAAATACATATTATATTATAATACATAAAATATGATAAATGGTAGATTAATTTAAAAAAAATTTAACGTAGTAGAAATATTGTAATTTTTATACACAAAGTAAAGTTAAAATAATAAAAATAGTAAAGAGAAAAGATCGGAAATTTGTAAAATTACGGAAAAAAAAATGCAAAAAAAATCGGTATTCGGGCGGCCGTGTAAACCATATGGCTTTGGCGACACTACCGCTCGGAAAGCGTACGACGGATTTGAACCCGGGACCTACGTGTTTTCTACCTAACGCCTAACCTACTCGGACACAATTTGAGATGTGAAATATGGTCAAAACATCAACACTTAAGCCGTGCGTCTACGGAGCGACGTAAGCCGATATATTCGATGTACATCGATGTAATCGCATACAATTCGCTTGTAATACGCGCATCTCCCATATATATATTTAACGGGGCGCGTGAAAAGCGTTTTCCGTTAATAATTATTAAATCAATAGGCAAAAATTAAATTATACACGTATATACATGTATATTGTATATATACGCGTACGGTCGGTCGTAATTTCTAAACGCGATTGCGAAGCGAACCTACCGATTTCGTAAGAAAAGCGTATATATACGGCTTTAGAAAGACGTCAACTACACGATTCGGGCACGAACGGCGTGCAAAAAGACGAAACTGTCGGAGAAAACGAAAAAAATCGGCAAAAAAGTCCGGCCGGGAGCGTATTTTGCGATCGACATTCCGACGGCTACGGACGGCACACGGATATAAACCGCCCACCGGCGGCTTCGAGAGATCGCGAGCCACGCGAATCGAGTATAAAAAAGGGCGAAAAACGATAGAAAACGGTCGAAATCGTGTGAAAAGAGTAAATGTTCGAAAATTTCAAAAATCGGCGGAATGATAAGAAAAGAAGTGATAACGCGGGGCCGGGCGACGGAATTTTCTGATTGGCGTTCCTTATTTGCTGCGTCGCGCCTGTCGGACAAAACTGGGGACTAACCTCGTTTTATAATATAAGAGATGTTTATCATTATTTCCAACATTTTGTAGTTTTGTACTTTTTGACTGAAAGTAGTTTATTTAAATAATTTTCCAACATGAAGATAAATATTTGTTACTACCAATTTTAAATATAATGCACTGTGAAAAAAATCAAACCTTAGATTTATATTCAAATAAAAATGCTAGTTAAATTAAATTTGTATGTACACGGCCAAATGTGGCCTAGCGTTTAAGCATTTTGTTGTAGATATTTTAATTTTCTTTTGCAGATCATTATGCCTTTCCCAGCGGTTATCTGATCTCCGTATATATGATATGTAGCATGGCTTAAATATACAAGGTTATTGCAGTAGTACCCCCACTACATCGTTTTATCTTGTTAAGTATTTAAAATGGCAGCGTAAGGGGCGATGTTTTGATTGGCTGTATATTATATGAATTGGCGGCATATTCAAAATGTTAACATATTTATCATTCATGCAATATATTATACTAAACTGTTACTATACCGAGTGTAACAAATATTTTCTTTAATTTGTATACTATAATTAAAACGATTGTCTTGTATATTAATATTGTACTTATTGCTTGATTTGTTTGCAATAAATTGTTTTATATTTGTAATAAATACATCATACAATCATATATTATGCCTATTTATTTATTATGAAACCAGATGCTAAAATATTCTTTTTTTCGTACTACACACTTTATATTAAACCTAAAATAAATAAAGAATCAAAATACTGATAACATAGATGGTATAAGTACATAAAATGAATACCTATAACTAAGGCTGTGCAAGTTAATGATTTTTTTAACTCAGTTAAGTTAAGTTAATATGCACCAATAACAAAAAGTTAAAAGTTAATTTAACTATAGGTTAACTCAGTTAAGTTAAAAGTTAATAAACACTATTTGTTTATACAACGCTAGCTTACTATTTTTTTCCAACCCAAAACTAAATTATAGAATATAGTTTATACTTTATACAGTATTTCCATATAAGTTAGATTCGAATGATTTTAACTTTAAATCAATTATCGGACGGCAGCTGCGGCTCGTTCTCGAGGTATTTTACTGGCGGCAAGTAGGTAGATTAATCGGACGTTTGCGATGTTTTTCTCAGCGGCGAAATAATATTTGACGGCGGCGTATGCTCGGCGTTCTCAATATTTTACTAATGGCACTGCAGAGGAAAACAAACGGACTTGCAGCGGCGGCGGGTCGACTGGCTTTTTAGACCATATCCGAGCACGGTAGAGGAAAACGAACGGAACGGGAACGACGGCGATATTCTTATCCAAACTGTTTGACCTGGGTTTTACTCCATATCCAGTTGGCAAGAATATCGTACATGTTAAGACTATAACAAGTGAGTGATTTTGTATGCTCACGGGGTCTATTTACTGACTACCTCAGTTGCCGCCGTGAACAGTAATGATGGCATAAGTGTATACGTTTTGGTGGTATATGATGGTACATAATAGCGCGGAGGGTGTATGTTTGCGTTGACGCTTTTAGTGGTTGATGCGCTTCATTTTGTCAATGCAGTTAGTGTATATTAATTACTTAAAATCCGTAATTATTATGAATATGTTCCCGGACATAACTTGGTGCGTGGTGCATGCTATCTAGTATCAGTATTTGGCGTTCCGGGCTGGCTACCGATACTAGATAGTTGCATATTTATTTACTGGTGGCGCGTCGTTTCTCAGCGCTGTTGTGGGCTGTTCGCGTTATTTGTTCACCGTACGCGCTATTGCGTATATTATTGTATGTTAAAATAAGAAAAATGAAAGTAGGTAATTTTGTCTCGTTACAACATTCATAAACCTGTTCCTTTGTGTAATTATCCAATGATTTTTGAAGATTCTTAACGTTTTTAAATCTTAAAATTAACGTTGAGCTTTCAATATCTCTGTTATTATTATTACAACCATCTGTCGTGCACCGTATTTTTTCGATTGCGGATTTAGCGTTTACCAATAATTTCGTTGCAATGAACGCTACATTACACTGAGCATCAATCACTTTGATACGAGAAATATCATCAGAGCTCTTAAAAATCAGCTTTAATAATTTGAGTCGATCTGTGAATGTTTTTTTGGTTGGTCCATATAATGCAAGACTTTTGCAAAACCTTAACATGTTGTTTTCACTAGAGTCTACAAAAGCTGTATAGGTTTTTAAGTCTGTATATGCCATAGTTATTATTATTGCTAATGCATCAAACGGGCACGTGTTCATAACAATATTTGTTTGGCTACGTTCAATGGTGTTGCTATATTTCCATTGATAAGCAAGGTATTCAAGTTCGACCGGGTTTTTTTTTTTGCAATATTCTGTCGATTTCAGGAGTTTTTTCCATGTACGTTGTATTCCTTTTTCTTTTATATTTACTTTCACAGCCTTTGGGAAAAACTGGAAAGCCACCCCAATTTTCAAATTCATCAAGTGATTTTTCAGAAGTTGAATCGCTGGAATTTAATTTAGTCAGTGTTTCAATTCCTTCTAAATGCATGTACGATTCATTTGGTGAAATGGGCCCTAATCTTTTGATGTCCAACGAATCAAAGCTAACATTTAGTATTGATTTTTCCTTTTGGATTGATTCAATACTTATTTCCTCCGACACAGGAATTAGTGTATTCGTTATTGTTGAAGATGGCCCTATCGTCTCTGAATCTGAAATTATATAGTCTGATTCAACATCCACCTTCATAACAGATTTCTTATTCATTTCAATGTGATTATTTCTTAGCTGGCTGCTTCGAAATAAAATTGAGCTGCCTTCGATTGATTTTAGATGTTTGGCAACAAACCGATCAGCAGTCATTGGTTTCATTTCGAAACGGAGGATACGTGATTTAAAATCGGAGAAATCACTCTCCACTGATGCTGAAGATGCAATCACATATGGAGTTTGAAATTTGTCATTCGTAACTCCAGTCCAGATCGGAAAATGCTTGCATAAACGTAAAATTGTTTTGGATAAGTTTGGAATAAAGTATGCAGAATCGAACGGTTTCGCGGCCACATGTGGTCAGTGGGCCGCGTGTTTGAGACAACTGGTATAGACTATAAACTTTAAAAAGTTAATACATCTATAACACAACGTGTTTTATTTATTTAATAAAAAGGTGATTGGACCCGTAAAGCACATAAATGCACAGCGACAGCTCCACAGAAAAATTCATACTTTATAACAAATCACTTTCAATTGAAAGACTGTGAACTGCCCACTAAATAATCTAATCGATACCTATGTTACTGTTTATTATGTTATAGTGTTGATTATGTTAAGTAATATATTGAATTTTATTGTGCGATGTGCTGCAAAATATAAAAAGACATTATAATTATTATTTCTTATAATTTATTTTATTTTTATTGATATCAATAACACAGTTATTCGTTTAGACAAATTTGAATTTATTATTGTAAATTGATGGGTTAAATAATTAGGGGTACTGTCGAAGTATTAGATCAGTAGGGTTCTGTAATTGTTGCAGGCTAAACCGGAAATTGAAGTGTGCGCACCTCTATGGTATAAAGTATTCTTTATAATAACACTCACAGTTTCTCAAAGTAAAAAATAATTTTGGACCAACCATAAATGTATTCATTTAGAAGTTTGGAAAAAAAACATTGTACTTATATATTATGCAGCAACAACAAAATAATTAAAAATATCTAAACTTGAATCCAAATTACAAAACATTCATAAGTAAAAAAATGTTTCCTGATAAAGTAGATACAAAAAGTGGTTGCACATTTTTTCAAGTAGGTTGCTAAAAGTTGCTAAAAGGTTGCTAAATATTGGCACAAGTCCGAAGTTGATAAGACAAAGTCGGGGGGCTGCGTGAGGTTGCCCCTCCCCATTTTTATTATGCTGATTTTAGTCACGAAGTAATATTTTGCAAATTTTTCTGATTTTTTTCACAGAGCATTTTATTTAAAATTGGTAGTAACAAATATTTATCTTCATGTTAGAAAATTATTTAAATAAACTACTTTCAGTCAAAAAGTACAAAACTACAAAATGTTGGACCAATTTTTTTTATTTAACCTTAATACCTCAATACTTAACAAAAAATAATGATTATAAAAACATAATATTATAAAATGTCTTAATAAGAAGTAAAAAAACAAAAAAAAATACAACTTTCAAACTTCAGGTAAATCACTTCAGAGTTCATAATTGGCATTTATTAAAGATTCGAAAAATACATTTAATGGTTGAAATAACATACCATAATAAGTAATCAAAGTTTATATTTTTTAAACGTTTAACATCCAAAATATATAAATTTTAAATTTGTTCAATATGTTACACTTATTATTATCCTCGTGATCGTGTAAAGCGGAACACGTTTCATACACTCAAAACTCACAATAACTCTATATATATATTAAAAACTTTTTTAATAGTATATAGTTAATAATTATTCTATCTTTCTAACCAAGTTGAGTTAAGAATCTAGCCCCCCGAACTTGTTTCCTAATAAAGTAGGTAAAAAGGAGGTTGGAAATTTTTTCAATTAGGTTGCTAAAACTTGCTAAAAGGTTGCTAAATATTAGCACAAGTCCGAAGTCCGTAGGATAAAGTCGGGGGGCTCGCCCACCAAACTTGTTTCCTGATTAGGTAAGTAAAAAAAGTGGTTGCAAATTTTTTCAAGTAGGTTGCTAAATATTGGCACAAATCCGAAGTCCGTAGGATAAAGTCGGGGGGCTGCGTGAAGTTGGCCCCCCAGTTTTATTATGCTGATTTTAGTCACGAAGTAATAGGTTTCAAAGTTTTTCATGTAGGTTGCTAAAAGTTCCTAAAAAGTTGCTAAATATTGGCACTAGTTTGGAGTCTCTATGTCTAATTCGGGGGGCTAACTTCACGCACGTCAAAATCAGGGCATTATGAATTTTTACGTTTACCATTTGGACTTAGTTCATCTACAACTACAACTTTTACTCGAGCCATGAAATCTATTTTAATGGCTTGGAAGAATTATGTACGGCGTACCTAGATGACATTGTAGTCCACGGGTCAAGTTTAGTAGATCATCAGAATAGGTTAAAGCAAGTGTTTACGCGATTAAGACTACATAAACTGAAATTGCAACCTAGTAAATGCATGTTTCTACATAAAGAGGTGTTATATTTAGGGCACGTTATCAGCGAAAACGGGGTAACGCCTGATCCAAACAAATTAAATTGTATTAAAGAATATCCGAGACCACTAAACGAGAAAGACGTTAAGTCATTCTTAGGTTTATTAAATTATTACCGCCGATTCGTTGATAACTTTGCCAAAATAGTAAAACCTCTTACTAGCTTATTAAAGAAAAACATACCGTTCGTGTGAACGGAATGTGTGAAGACGCATTCCAAGAATTAAAAAAGCGTTAATGAATCCACCTCTACTTATCTACCCTAATTGGGAAAACGGAAATTTTAACCTCATGACCGATGCAAGCCAATACACGATTGGAGCGGTCTTGTCTCAAGGTGACGTAGGTACCTAAAGATCAACGTATCCATTAACGTATTTGTTCAATATAAAAGACGTTTCGTCTCAGTTAATGCGATGGCGATTACAGCTCGAGGAATACGATTACGAAATAATCTATAGAGCAGGCTCGCAACATTCGAACGCGGATTGCTTATCACGTATACATGTTGTTACCAATGATGAGCCAATTAGCGATTTCGAAGAGTTTAAAAAAGCAGAAACTAAACCGATTTTTAATTCCAGAATAACCGAAATAGAGGGAAGTATAAAACACGTACAAAATAATGAAAATATAATTTTACCTATTTCAAATGATAAAATCGCATCCAGCATCCAGCGATAAGAGATGTAATAAACAATAGGCGCGTTTTGGCGGAGTAACCATCAGTAATCTGTTTACTGATAATATCGTTTTCACGAGTACCTACGGTTTGTATAACACGGTTATTGAATTTTTAACAAGTTTAGTGATTTTACTAACCGTCAATTAAGACTCGGTAACAGAGTTTACTATGATGCAATTACACGTCTTATCTTATTACTTTGATTAAGCCCCGTTTTACACGAACGACGGTTGACGGACCACTTTAAAAGTTTAAAAATGTATCCACTCTTTATTTAACTTTATAAACTTAACTCTTACTTTTCCTCGACGACACCCTTGACCCTTCCCGCGTAGACGGCGTCCACAAATTATAATATATTGTGCATAAGTAAACATGGCTTTGCAGTTTATTAGATTTATTTTAAATAAAGAGCAGGCCATTTTTAATGATGAGCCCAACTGCATACCACAAGTAATGTGTGAAGTGCTAACTGAAGGTAAGTTAGGACATTACATTAAACAATATAAGTAGTATATATGTACCAGTCCTGGCGCACCTCATAATATATCAGTAAAAGATCACAAAGAAAACAATGTGCAAAAAGATCAGAAAATTGAAATGCAATAATAATTAAAAAAATTTTTCGGAAAACTTATGAAATGCAATAATAATAAAAATATTTTCCACAAAACTTAATTATTAAAAATAAAAATCAAAATGCAATAATAATAAAAATATTTTCCGCAAAACTTAATTATTAAAAATAAAAATCGAAATGCAATAATAATAAAAACATTTTTCGCAAAACTTATTAAATACATTTTCACCCCCAAAATATTTTTCATAATACTTATGATATTAATAATTAAAATCGAAATGTAATAATAATTAAAATATTTTTTAATAGAATTGTTCTATTAAAAATAAAAATCGAAATGCAAAAAAACTTATATATTTAAACGCGTGTCCAATTCGGACACACGTTAAATATCAAATATTTTTCTAATCTTTTTGATTTTGATTTCTAATCAATGTATTGAGATGGTTTACAAAATCATTTCTATCTATATTTGTTTTATAATGTCCCCAAGCTAATGTATCAATACCATTTTCCAAAATAAATCTTTTATCATCATACACACTTAAAGCTTTTTTGTTTTGTTCTACAGTAAAAATATCATGTTTCTTAGTTCTAAATAAATTTTGTTTAACATATTTTGATTCTTTTGTTAGTAAACATTTTTCAAAATCATTAAAACATATTTTATTTTCTACAACATTTTTTTTAACACCTTTAGCTTTTTTAATTTCTTTTTCAGTATCTAAGATTCGATGAGAATATAATTTAGATCTTAAACCTATAAATTCAGACATTATTTTTCCATTTAACTCATCTTTAAACTTGCCTAAAACTTTTTTGTTAACTAAAGGTAAACCATAAATATTATCTTTTGGATAATCTGATGTGTCAAAATGATCTAACATAATTTTCATATCTTGATAAAAATCATTAGTGAATCTGTATCTGTGTATAACAATCTAACTCTATTTCCATATTTTTTCTTTATAATATTATAATAAAAATCATACATTAACATTTTAGATAAATCTAAAATACACATTCCTACATATATTGGTTGTTTGAAAGATATTTGTGTTCTTTTCATATGTACGGCAGCTAAATTTTCTGTAAAAATTGTTCTTCGATCAAAATTTGGTTTTGTAATTAATTTTTCTAGTTGGTATGCATTAGAACATAATCTTATATCAACATGATTTCGAACATTCATCATAGTACGTCCATAAACACTATTATTCATTAATTTGAAAAATTCTTTTTCAAACTCATTCTTAGCTTCTGATCTAAGATTAGTATTAAAATCAATATAAACTTTTAACCAAGGAGATTGACTAAATTCTAATACTCTATGAATTTTCTCTATCTTTAAACCTAAATTAATATATAATTTTAGTGTTTCATAATGTATTATATATTTTTTCTTATCATACAAA